CAACATTCTTCAAAATATCTTCTTTTACATTCCACAGAGGAAAGAAATCATACACATTTGGAATGACATCAGGATGAGTTAATAATGACACAATTTTCATTTCGGGGTGAATTGTATATGATGTGGCAACATTTCATTTGGGTCTAAATCCTTTACATGCTTCAGTTTCTCTAAACATATTCAAGCAAAGGTTCTATTCAGGAACTATATTAGGTAGATGAGTAAGATATTTCTAGAGCATGTCAGACTTTTAAGTGCTGCGTTGTCTTCAGGCATGGCATTATCACGCTACAAGCGCTGTCTGAGTCCAACAGGAGACTCTGGCTGGAAGCTATGGATGGCAAAGAGCCGGTGAGTCCTGAAGCTAATTTATTGCCTGATTTAATACAATCTTGACATAGTTGTCATCATTTGCTTCTGTGTAATTGTATAACAATTATAAAATATATTATTTAATTATAATATAAATATATTATTGGTTAATAATGTTTATATAGTCAAAAATTAAAAAGATTTAAAAAAAATGTCTTATTTCAGTTGGTAAAAGCTTTCTATGTGGTATAATAGGAAATATCTGACATCCGATGAAGTCATTCATACGTCCTTTGGTCTCTCTCTTTCAAAATTTAGGGTAATTATGCATGTGTGTTGTGTTTATATATTTGTGTATGTTCTGTATGTACTGTATATATTCTCCTCTCAGCAGGGCTCAACACTATGGGTTTGTACAGAGTCGGTGGAATAAACTCAAAAGTGCAGAAGCTCATGACCACAGTCTTCTGTAAGTTACTTCACTCTACACATCTAATGCCAGCCTCGAGAACTAGACAAATGTGTGTTTCAGATCGGGGTCGCAAAAATCGATCACTCTGGAGCAGTCCCCTCTTGCACAAACATTGTCAAATTAATTTATTTTGGAGCTTAACGTCACATCTGGTGGCTTTTAATCTTGTTCTGAAAGATCTCAACAAATGTCTGGATTTAGTCTGTAAACCTAAATCAAGTGTAACTTGACTTCACAGATTAACTTAAACTATAAACACCATGTCACCATGAAACAAACATTGACAATTCTTATTTTATGTATGGAATGTTACATAGTTTATTATAATATATACATAATCCTTTTAAATGTTCAAAAACATGATATTCCCCTCCCCTTCGCAAGGACATCTCGTTCCTGGATAGATAGATTCTCAAAACATAAATATAATGTTTTTTCATTATTTAATTTTTTTTAAGAAAATGAAAGAAATAAGACTATATTTTCAATAGGGAAAATAAGCATTGCACTCTGACACTTTATTGACAGTTATCTACATTTTCATCTCGAGTTGTTATTACTGTAATGCAAAAACCCCTCGTTATCTTTGCCATAGAAAATAGGGATAAATTAAATCCAATACATTTTTTAAAGGATAAATTATTTATAGTGGACTTAACTGTCATGAAAATTATGTTACAGTGTAAAAATCTTAATGATCCTAAAAATTACCTTCATTTTCTTGCAACTTTTTTTTTTTTTTTTTGGTTTGAAATATGACATTTTTGAATTAGCGGTTTTCCATGGGTCAGACATCTTTAATATCACTCCAGCATTTGCACATTTGTTCCTGGTTTTCTCTTACAGCACACAAAGCAGCATCAGACATGGATCTGGACCCAGATACCTGGGACAACAAAACCATCACCAGCGGCCTCAAGAATTACCTCAGGTTAGTGTGTTCCTCAGGTTTTGCTACATGTTACAGGCTGATGTTATTACTTATAATAGAGATTCAAAATGCTAGTGGGAGCTGTACATTCAGCAAGATTACACTGAAATAGAGTGTAACTTTCTCCATTTGAGAGAGTTGAAAGTAACCAAAAGCTTTTCTGAGAGAAGAGCTAACAAGATGTAATTCTCGTCTCTGTCCACCAGGTGTCTTTCTGAGCCTCTCATGACATACAAGCTCCACTCAGACTTCCTCTTGGCTGTCAGTAAGTTCTAAAGCTTTTGAATTACATGTTAAGCATTAAGACACTGAAAAGCTATAAATCTGTGTTGAGTTTGTGCTGATGGTGTGTTGATCTATTTGGTCTGTTTTCTTTCAGAATCTGATGATCAGAACTACAGAGTGTGTGCAGTTCACGCGCTGGTGTATAAACTGCCTGACAAAAACAAAGAGATGCTGGAGATATTAATCAAACATCTACTCAAGTATGACTGAACGTGGATTTATATTCATTTTTTTACTGTTGAAAGGAAAACTTTTCTCTCCCTAAACTCACTCTTAGTCTCAAGTAATATGTTGTAGATTTATTTAGAGCAAAATGTTGTAAATAAGATGGTTGGTCACTAGCATGTGTTGTGTTTTGGGTGCTGGCGTCTTCACAAGACTTCTTAACTAGCTTAACCAAGACCAAGACGTACTTGATCTGTGGGCTTCACCGCATAAAATTTGGTGGTAGCACTAACATAAGGTTGCATTTGTCCGGTCTTGTCCTGCATGTAATTTTACATTGGTGTCAGGTAGTTTTGTGGGGTAATTAAGTATTATTTGAAGTATGATATTGGTTCGAGGATTTGACTGACGTGTCTCTGCAGTGTGTCCACACACAGTGACAGTAACATGATGACCGTGTCCAATCTGGGAGTGATCTTTGGCCCTACGCTCATGCGCTCCCAGGAAGAAACTGTTGCTGCCATGATGAACATCAAATTCCAAAATATCGTGGTAGAAATTCTCATTGAACATTTTGAAAAGGCAAGATAATACACAACATACTCCTGTAAGAAATGATACATTCATACTGTATCTGTATCTGTATATGTCTATATAGACTAACTTTCAGAAGTGTTGGGGTTGGTAAGATTTTTTTATGTTTTTGAAAGAAGTCTCTTACACTACCAGTCAAATGTTATTTGAGCAGCAAATCATAATATTAGAATGATTTCTAAAGGATCATGTGTGGCACTGAAGACTGGAGTAATTATGCTAAAAAAATCAGCTTTGCAATCATAGGAATTAATTTACATTTTAAAATATATTCAAATAGAAAGCAGTTATTTTAAATAGTAAAGATATTTCACAATGTTACTGCTTTTGCTGTATTTTTCTGGTGAGCAGAAGAGAATTCTTTAAAAAACATTAAAAATCTTACTGTTCAAAAACTTTTGACTGGCAGTGTATGCTCACCAAGGCAGTATTTATTGTATCAAAAATACAGAAAAAAAGGTAATATTGTGAAATGTTATTACAATTTAAAATAATTGTTTTCTATTCTAATATATTTTAAAATGTAAATTATTCCTGTGATGCAAAGCTGAATTTTCAGCATCATTACTCCAGTCTTCAGTGTCACATGATCTTTCAGAAATCATTCTAATATGCTAATTTAGTGCTCAAGAAACATTTATTAGTATTATCAATGTTGAAAACGGTTATTTTTGTGACAACTGTGATGCATTCTTTTTTCCAGGATTCTTTGATGAATGAATTAAATCAAAGAATCTAAAGAGCAGCATTTGTTTGAAATAGAAATCTAGTATTTTCTGTCACTTTTAATCAATTTAATGCATCGTTGCTGAATAAAATAATAATAATTATTATTATTTTATTTTTGTCTTCACAGACATTTCATCAAGCGCCGGACCCTAATGTTCCCCTGCCACAGCCTCATTCTTGTCCAGGGTCTCGCAGGAGCAGAGCCATCTGTCTCTCATCTGGACCACGCAAACCCAAGAGCCTCTACACACCCTCAATGTGCCTGGCAGACGCGGACAGTGAGTCTCACACGACCAGTAACCCTCACATTTCACATTCACTGCTGAGAGTACATCTTCTGTGTTTTATGTTAGCGTAAGAAGTTCATTTTAATATTTTGAAACCAGTAAATTGAACATAATTAACACTAGGGCTGCCCTCGACTAAGGATTTTTTCTGTTCGACTAGTAGTCGTTCATTTGAAGCATTAGTCGACTAATCGAACGTTTATTAATAAACTATTTAAATCATTATAATGAGCCTTAAATTGCCTACATAGCCATAAGCGCTCAAGCACATGCATAAAGCTTGCCACAGTGCACCGGCAGAAGTAATGTGTCAGTGAAAAACAGTAAGGAGACTACAATAACATTTTAATTATTTGATAAACTACTGCTTTCTTTGTTCTCAGTTTAAGAGATGAACTCGGCGACACTGACTCATCATCTCCGCAGTAGTGATGCACCTTGTTTCATACGGATTCCATAATCTGAGAATATTTGTTTTCCATTTGAATTGGTTCACATGAAAGTAGACATTTCACTCTCTCTCTATATATTGTTAATGTCTGTAAGGCAAAGATATACACGGAGTTTCGCGCTCAAGTTCACAGACCGAGACAGACCTGTTTGCTTTCATTATTTTACAAAAGCGCGTTTTGTTGTTATTGTGAGTGCACACAAATTCGACTAGTAGTCGTTCATTTGAAGCATTAGTCGACAAATCGCACGTTTATTAATAAACTGTTTAAATCATTATAATGAGCCTTTAATTGCCTACATAGCCATAAGCGCTCAAGCACATGCATAAAGCTTGCCACAGTGCACCGGCAGAAGTAATGTGTCAGTGAAAAACAGTAAGGAGACTACAATAACATTTTAATTATTTGATAAACTACTGCTTTCTTTGTTCTCAGTTTAAGAGATGAACTCGGCGACACTGACTCATCATCTCCGCAGTAGTGATGCACCTTGTTTCATACGGATTCCATAATCTGAGAATATTTGTTTTCCATTTGAATTGGTTCACATGAAAGTAGACATTTCACTCTCTCTCTATATATTGTTAATGTCTGTAAGGCAAAGATATCAAGTTCACAGAGACCGAGACGGTAGAAAGTGCATCCTGTTTGCGTTCATTATTTTACAAAATCGTGTTTTGTTGTTATTGTGAGTGCACACAAATAAACGTAGAGTCTTTACAGATTTGAAAGATGTATTACTCTAATCTGAATGACCAAAAATGACAGTAGTAGAATGGAGTAGGCTATTTTAAGAGTAAGTAAGCGCACCGGCGCTATTACCGGCGCCTCCATCTGTCTACGCAGTGAGCGCGCTACTGTTTAGGTTCTACATTCCACACAGACACAATAGCGCACATTTCTCTAGGTTAACATTAGATCAAGCAGCCATGTAAAGTTGCTAATACTTACATATTTCAGATGATAAGCCATATTTGAGGTTGATGAATGATAGGCGACCGTTTGGATGTCCTGCCTGATGTACTGTATTACCATAGACTAGCCGTTAACGATCTGTCCGTGACTAACTGCGTGACTTCGCCTGTGGATTTATTTTTTTATGTGACTAAGCGACTAATAACAATTTGGTCGACCAAGACTCTTCTGGTCGACTCACTGCCGGACTGCAACCGTGTGCAGTGTGCACGCTTTATTAATCTGTTAACATGAGCGCGGAAAAAATACACACCACATTTACACTGCAAACGGAGTAATGTGAACCTGGCGTTATGTGTGTGTGCTGCGAGTGTGCATGAGCGCACGGACTCCAGGAAAGCGCGCAAGCGCTGAATGGTTAAACACTAGCTGATAAGCTATATTTGAGGTCGATGAATGATAGGCGACCGTTTGGATGTCCTGCCTGATGTACTGTATTACCATAGACTAGCCGTTAACGATCTGTCCGTGACTAACTGCGTGACTTCGCCTGTGGATTTATTTTTTTATGTGACTAAGCGACTAATAACAATTTGGTCGACCAAGACTCTTCTGGTCGACTAACGATTAGTCGACTATAGGGGGCAGCCCTAATTAACACATTCATTTACTTGAGTGGTGCTTGATAAGGCTTGAGAAAACAGGTAAGAAATCCCATGGACTCACATTAAAGAAAGTTCCCGAGCGGTGATATAGCCTACTACCCGGGACTCCCTCTTTATGTATTCAGATGTGATGTAATGATACAAAGCGAACGACTCGAAGTTGAACCACTTAAAAAAAACATTATTGCAAGTAGGGGTGCTCCGATCAGGATTTTTGAGGCCGATCGCCGATCACAGAAAGCAGTATCTGCCGATACCGATCACCGATACCGATATTTTTAAAGCCTTCTTTTTATAATTTATAACTATTTATAGTGATACTCCAATCAGGATTTTTAGACATTTATTCAGGGCCTGAATTTCATTTTTGAAAAAGGGGGGAATTCCCCTCTTAGGTGACTCTTGTGAGAGGGGAAGCAGCATGGACTGCTTTCACACAGGAGTCCGCTACTGATCCGTGACCGTTTACCACAAACACAACATTTATCCATTATTTTGATTTCAAATCCAAACATTGTCACTGAAAATGCTTTTTCAGCATTGCAACTTTATAAGTTATTTAATGAAGAAATATAGCATTATAATTATTTCACCCGCGCTGGACAGAGACTGAGACGGTGCCGCTGCATGTCATGCCAAACCTCTCGCAGCAGAGTCATCAGCTTGAGATCGTTTTTTGAGATCGGCCTTTTTAGAGACCGCCGATCAATCATCCCAAAGCGATTATCAGCCGGTAGTGATCGGTAGCCGATCAATCGGAGCACCCCTAATTGCAAGCATTCCGTTGTGAATCAGGCTAAGGCAAGGTTATAGTAAGTGTTAATCGATTTACGACTTACGCAATATGTAAAATAAGTTTTTTTTTTTTTACTGAACAATGTTTATTCTTATTATTTATCATCAGTGCCATCAAAGAGACTTCAACATTTGAGTCCAGTAATGAATGAAAATCATTCTATGCATAATTAAAGCTGCAGTGCGTACATTTTGCCTCTTTGTCGCCAAGGTAAGGAGATAGTTTTGAACACTGATTGGTTATGTACTTGCTCAATAATTGATTTTGGATCATTTTTAACCAAATCAAGTTACGGAATGCAGCTTTAATAGGCTCATGTATTTATTTTCACAAAATAGTGACTGTATTAAGAAATGTAATGAGTTTTCAGCTGTTATATGTCTTCACGGCACATGTTCTTACTCACCCTGCAGGTGACACGTTCAGCAGTAGTTCAGGCAGCACTCCAATCGGCAGCATGGACTCCCTCTCCTCCCACTCCTCAGAGCAGAACAGCTCCTCCAAAACCTGCTCCTCTCCACAGCCCAAAGACAAGCCCCCCTTCCCCGGCCTGCGACATACCCCTTCCTCCCTGTCCTCCAGCGAGCCGCAGGGCCTCACCTGCACCAGCAGTCCAGACTCCAGCTCCAGAGAGGACACGGGCCGTGTGGATTGGGAGGACTCCTGTAGGGTGAACTCAGCCTCAGCAGCTGCCAGGTCTTCACCAGCACCCACAAAGGCTCCTCACTCTGAAGTAGGAATCAAATCAGCACAGCTTAACCGCTCGAACGCCCCATCTCTAAGATCTTTACACATCACAGAAGGTAGGGGCCAAAAACATACGTTTCTGGTTAAAAGTTTAGAATAATTAAGATTTTTTTTTAAGAGAAGACTCTTTTGTTCATCAAGGCTACATTTATTTAATCAAAAATACAGTAAAAATGGTAATATTGTGAAATATTATTACTATTTTGAATAACTGTTTTCTGTTGTAATATGATTTAAAATGTAATTTATTTCTGTGATGGCAAAGCTGAATTTACTCCAGTCTTCAGTGTCACATGATCCTTCAGAAATCATTCTAATATGCTAATTTGCTGCTCATATATTATCATATATTATTGGTGCTCAATTATTAATCATGGTTCATATTAATATCAATGATAAAAACAGTTTTTGCTGCCTAATATTTTGTAGAAACCATGATACAGTTTTTCAGGATTCTTTGATGAATAGAACGTTCAAAAGAACAGCATTTATTTGAAACAGAAATGTTTTGTAACAATATAATTAACCCTTTAGGAGCCAGGTTATGACGTCATCAGGGGGCGGCCCTCTTGAATGTCATAATATCCATGAAATAATAGATAATGAATTGATGTTTGAACTTATTTGCATGTTTATTTTTTTTTTGTCTTTTTATCCTCATTCCGGTAGGGAATACAAATGAGATATTACACCATATTAGGAACTACAGTCTATTTGATTAAGTATGACGTCTTGTCGCAATTTTGCGACTTTGGCGCTTAGAGGGTTAAGCAACAAAAACCGTTTTCAACTTTGATAATAATATTAATTAAGCACCAAATCAGCATATTAGAATAATTTCACTGAAGACTGGAGTAATGATGCTGAAAATTCAGCTTTGCCATCACAGGAATAAATTAAATTTTTAAATGTATTAAAATAGAAAACTGTTTTTTTTATATCATAATAAGATTTCGCAATATTACTGTTATTATATTATAATGTATTTTGTGATCAAATAAATGCAGCCTTGCTGCGCATAAGAGACTTCTTAAAGATATATATAAATATATAAAAAAATATATATATATATAAATATATATGTGTATGTGTGTATATATATATATATATATAATCTGAATTATTCCTTCCCAATTTTGACCAGTAGTTTATGTGTATGTGTGTATATATATATATATATATATAATCTGAATTATTCCCAATTTTGACCAGTAGTTTTTTTTTTCTTTAAAAAACTGTATTCAAATTTATTTTCTCTATTATTTTATTTTATTTGTATTTATTAATTTATTTTACTTGGTTTAAAACCCCTAATCTACACAAAAGAAGCTAATTTACTTATTTTGTTCTTTTGTGTTTTTCTGGAGGTCGTAAGAGCTGTATGGTGTCTGTGCACAATCTAGCATGTGTGGAGCATAAAGACGGTACCAGATCCACCGCCTACCACGATCTGCCACCTAAAACGGTCCTGCGCCGAAAGCTGGACAACAGCAGCTCTACCAACGGCTATCAGAGACCAGGATCAGTGTAAGTGAAACTCTCTATCAGTAACCAACCCACTGATGCTGAAGCTGACATTTGATGAAAACCGAGCTCTGTCTGTTCCTCCAGCACTCATTCTCACATGAGAAGTCATCCAGTTTTCTTAGATGTTAGAAAAAATCTGGATATGTTGGGGGACCATGTCTACCCTGTGAGCCAATCAAAAGTTTATGGTTCAATGACAGATCCCAGTCTACATTTGAAGATGATGATGATGAAAACATTTTTTATTTTAAAACACGTCAAGTTCTTAGAAATGTAATCATTTGCATTATTGTTAAACGTGCTATATGTACTACTGTATATGTATCATGGAAGCCCATTTCCGCCATTGAATAAAAAATTGTAAAAAGTATTGTGATTTTTTTAATCTCGCAATTCTGACGTTTTTTCCTCTGAATTTTGCAATATAAACTCACAATTGTGAGTTATAAAGGCCAATTCTGAGGGAACAAAAATACAATTTTCTTACAATTGCGAGTTTGTATTTCAAAATTCTGAGTTTATAATTCACAATTGCATGTTATAAATTTAGAATTGCGGAAAAAAAACTTGCAAGAAACTTGCAATTCTGAGAAAAAGTTACAATTGTAAGTATATTTCTCAGAATTCTGAGTTTAGAATTCAAAATGACCTGTTATAAATTCAGAATTGCAGGGGGGGAAACTTGCGAGATAAGAACTCGCAATTCTGAGAAAGTCACAATTGCGAGTTTATCTCACAATACATTAACATTAACAATGAGCAGTACATTTTTTTACAGTATTTATTAATCTTTGTTAATGTTATCTAATCAAAAATATAACTGTTTATTGTTAGTCCATGTTAGCTCAGCTCTATTAAATAATATTAACAGATACAACTTTAGATTTGAATGATTTTTCACTTTAATAATGTAGCATTTTGCATTGTTAGTTAACCAAGGTTAATAAATGGAACCTAAAGTGTTAACCAGAATGGCTTTCTGATTACAATACAATAAACCTTTGAGGAAATTTATTTGGCAGGCAAAAGTAAAAAATACACTACTATTACTATTACTTCTATTACTAAATATACTACTATTAATATTACTACTACTAAAATATACTAGTTATAATTTAAAACCAAATAGCATTGACAGATTATGGCATGCTATTTAAGGTAGTGTGCCACCGTAAGAATTATATTATTTAATTAATTTATTTATTTTTATTTTATTTCGATCTCAGTGCAATTGATTTATTGTTCAGAAATAATAGAATTGATCATGTAAGATGTACATTTAAATTATTGTCAGCTTTTATTTGTGTCTGTCAGGTTTTAGAAAAACACTACATCATGAGGAATGTAAAAAACATTATTCAGTGTACATAGTGAGGAAACATTGTGCAGTATTTTATAGTGCAGTTGCTGGCTTGGAGAGGAAGTTGCTGAATGGAGATTGATGGCAATTGTTCTTTGTTGGCACGAGTTTTAATTACACCGCTGAAAGGGTTGATGTGACCTAGCACTAGTTTTGAAACACTCTTTCCAGGGAAGGATATATAATTTGACTGTCATGACAGAGAAGAAAAGGAACATTACAACTCACTTAAGAGGACTCGATTTAAAAACCCTTTTATTTGCTTATAAGCTGTATAGCTTCAAGTGTTAGCAACATGTTGATTTGAAAAATGTTTGGCCTGTGAATATGTACGTTACTTTAATACATCTGTATACAATGCTACGTGTCAATATATTGTTACGTTCCAAATTAGATTTCTAGGGGCAAAAGCGAAGTAACGTTTTAAAGTAAACATTTGAACCGTTCTCAGTCCAAGCACTCAGTACACAAAGTAAGATGCCAGTAAATGTATTTACAATAAACAAATGACATATATACAGTGTAAAAAGATCTAAGCAAACAATTTCAACATAAGAGAAGCATCTCTTCAGGAGTAGGTAAAGCCAAAATAACAAACAAAAGATTACTATCTGTAAGAAGGAAATCTAGCTTACCTCTAAGGATAAAAATAAATACCAATAAACAACAGAATTCTTACCTGACTTCCTAACTAGCAAAAACAGGAGAAAATGAGGACAAAAGAAAATGGCACCCAACTCCCTACTGCTCCAGCACTGAGTTATATTAACAATTGTCCTGGCTATTCCAAGCTCTATCATTGCAGTCAGCGGGTGTTGCAGTTGAACCGTCCACAAGTCGTCAAATAACGTGCGTGCAGCCATAATAAAACGTGTCTCGTATGGCTCCATGGATGAATAAAGGTCTCCTGTAGCGAATCCATGCGTTTTTGTAAGAAAGATATCCATATTTCAAATGTAATAAACACTTTTCTCTCACTTCCGGTATCTGTCATACACTGAAGCAGTTCCGGCTAATGACGCAGCACGTATGCGCAGCGCGCACCTCTGAGATATGATAGTCTCGCGAGTTTGTTTATAGGAGCAAAGAAAGCAAAGTTTCCTTACTTTAGCAAAGGAAAACCAGTCTCTTCTTGGTTTATATCGAAATCCTCCGACATTTTTCTTTGTTTTTTTTTGTTCTCTCTCTGCATTCGTTACCAATCACGCAACGCCGTCGTCATACGTCATCCGCCGGAACTGCTTCCGTGTATGACAGTCAGCGGAAGTGAGAGAAAAGTGTTTATTACGTTTGAAAAATTGAGATTTTTCTTACAAAAACACATGGATTCGCTACAGGAGGCCTTTATTCATCCACGGAGCCATACGAGACACGTTTTATTATGGCTGCACGCACGTTATTTGACGACTTGTGGACGGTTCAACTGCAACACCCGCTGACTGCAATGATAGAGCTTGGAATAGCCAGGACAATTTTTTATATAACTCTGACAGGATTCGTCTGAAAGAAGAAAGTCATATACACCTAGGATGCCTTGAGGGTGAGTAAAACACAGGCTAATTTTCATTTTTGGGTGAACTAACCCATTAAGTTTGGTTTTAAATTTAGGCTTAATAACATAAAACTGCACACTACAGCCATAACACCCATATTAAGCTTAAAACACACCAACAAGAGCAACACTCTGGGATTGGCAACGTCTCAACACACTCATGCTCTTGTGAGAAGGAACATCTCACTGGCTCACTCTCTTGATCTTCTTAAATACTGGTTCCTCTTGACATTGACGAGGAGCAGCTGGTATGTCCAATCACCTAGATTAGGACAGGGAGGAGCACAGAAAATAGGACAAAATATACAACAAAAACTACAACTCCCAGAAGGCCGTTGGGTCCACTGGCAGCATATCATGAAAGACACACACCATGATAATAAAACACAAATTCATACGTCCTGGGACGTAACAATAATACTTACTGTCTAAATTTACCAGTAATGAATGCAGACTTTTGGCTCACACCAAAGTTTTTTACTGTATATGTGAGGTCAAATTGTGGCTACCTGCTTTAGCTGAAAATGGTTTGTTTATTCAGCCTAATTCTGGTGACGTCAAATCATGAAGTTGACACTCACCCTGACATTTGGCATGGTTCTGTGTTCCAGGGTGGCTGCCAGAGCGCTGCTTTTTGAGAACCCATCAGCTGTAAAACCTCCTCCCTTGGGAAGGTAACAGTGGACATGGCCCATAAAGACATTACTGTTTCAGATATATTTGATGGCAATTGTCATAACAAAAATAAAACCAACAAATTCTGATTTAAAACAGTGTATGAGCACATACATAAATGTTATCATTTCTGATTATCATCCACAGAGATGCCAAAGCCATATATTCATGTGAAGCTGAACACAGCAATGAGCTGAGCTTCCCACAGGGGGCTCACTTCTCCAACGGTGAGTCTATCTATCTATCTATCTATCTATCTATC